GGTCTACAGGGTCAAGTGTCCCCTGAGGGGTTTGGAAGGCAGACACTTGCTCTTTCCCCAGGTGTCCACTGGGCTTACTCCCAGACCCATTCAATGGTTGCTCAAATGTTGCCTCCGCAGACAGACCTTTCCTGATCAAACAGTACTCACTAGTCTTTTAGATCCTTACTCTGCCTTATTTTCTTCATTGCACTTAATACCACCTGCCATTACATTTAGTTGACCCATATGAAAGTATTAAATACCAGCATTTTAAATCATTTGTTTATTGAGACAAGGTCTCCCTCTGTTGCCCAGGCTGGAGTGCAGCTCACTGCAGCCTTAACCTCCCAGGCTCAAGCAATCCTCCCACCCCAGCCTCCCGAGTAGCTGGGACCACAGGCATGTGCCACTATACTTGGCCAATTTTTACTATTAGTAGTAGTAGTAGAAACGGGGTTTCAACATGTTGTCCAGGCTGGTCTCAAACTCCTGTTCTCAAGTGATCCTCCCGCCCCAGCCTCCCAAAGTGCTGGGATTACAGCCATGCGCTACCACGCCCAGCCAACAAATAAATGTTGAATGAATGGGTCAATGAATCCTTGGGCTGAGTATCTGGCAAAACACTTAATAGAGGAGTTGGATGTGAGTTGGAGCTGACTCTCACCGAGGGGACCATTTCTGGGGCAGGGACTGGACAGCCAAAGGGCAGGAGCTGGGGTTGGGCAGCTGGAGTACCCGGGCAGAGCTGACACAGTCCACTGGGGAAGGAGCCTCTGGTGAGAAACCTACTGTGTGCCAGGCACTGAATTGGACACTTTTCTAGTCATCTCTTTTAGTCTTCACAACAGTCCTGTGACATGGGTCTTATCACCCACTCTCATTTTACAATTGAGAAAACTGAGGCTTAGAGGAGCTAAGTAACTTGTGTAAGATCACACAGCTTACCACCCCACAGAGCAGCCCACATCTGCAGTCTTTCTTCTGCATCTCCCTGCCTCCTTGCAATTTTGCTTGTTTCATGGAGTTTTGACAGCCCCAAAAGAGCATGGGAATCTCTAGAGCTGGGGCCAGAGCTCCAGGGCTCCCTGGCCTGTCCTACCCCCATAGGACCCCAGATGTGTCATGCTTTTTCATTTCTGTGGCGGTCTCGTGGTGAGGATGTCCGTGCTGGCCCATCCTCATTATGGCGAGGAGGTTCATGCTGGTCCTGCTATTTGGGGCAGAGAGGGTGGCTGCTGTGCTCCTGGGGCAAGATGGGGTCCAGGTGGCCAGGATAGGGGACATGACAGCCTCATAGCTTTGTGGGACTTTTGTCTCAATCTCTAAGAAACCAGTCATCAATTCCCACACCATGTCTCTGCCTCCAGAGGCTCACAGGCTGACTAGGAAGACAATGCAACAACAGCAGCCACTTCTCAGGCACTAGCTGGGCACCAGGCATTCTAGTTGGCGGTTAAATGTGCAGAGTTAGGAGCCAGATGCCAGATATGAAGATCATATTCACCACTTTCTTAGGTATGTGTGACCTTGGGCAAATTACTTAACCTCTCTGGGCCTCAGTCTCTCCATCTGTACCAGGGGAATAATTATATTGGAATAGACCAAAGCAGCCCTGATATCTGGGAGCTGCCTGGTCCTATCAGCCAGGACTTGGTTACTCAGAGCTGTCCAGCTTGGTGCAATTCGGTCTTGCTATGCTGAACACAGACAATTTCACAGACATCAGCATCGAACAAGGCCATCCGTGAACAGGGCAGACTAACACAAAAATGAAACTACTCCATAATCATATCTGAACACAGACAAAACATGAATATTGTCAAACCACAGAAATGACCCAAATCCCCCTGTAGAGCTAAGCTGAGTGGAGGCTGCTGGTTTACCAGCCGTAGCTTCAGCCTTGCTCTAGTCTGCTTTCCTTCTAGGCAAGATGTGTTAAGACTCCCAATCACAGTGTTACCTCCATTTCCTGACAGCATCAACCCAGAACAAAACCTCGCTTCCTTAACCCCTTCCCAATCACCTAACACAGCTCCAAACATTAGTAACGCCCCCTTCCTGGGGCGCCCCATGACCCCCATGGTGCATGCTCTCCCTTGTTGCAAGGAGTCATCAGCTCAGCTTGTTCCCCCACACGCGTGTTTCTGGCGATCTCTGGTTGGAGGCATTGAAAGTTCCTACCTCATTGGGTTGTTGTGAGGAATATACTTGAAATGATACAATTCTAAGGCTCTTTCAATATGCTTGTCACACTTTAGTATTATCCCCATTTCACAAGGAGGACACTGAAGTTCAGAGAGAGGACCAAACTTTGCCCGAGGTCACACAGGAGGTAATGACAGAGAAGGGATGTACATTCAGGTCTCATTCCAAAGCTGGTTTCCTGAACCCCTGCCTCCATGCTCATAGGGCACAAGCCAACAGGACAACCTTGGGTTGGTGTCTAGGGAGGAGAAGAGCAAATGGCCCTTGGAACTCAAAAGAAGAGAGCCTCAGGCTGGAGAGGCAGGGTATCGAGGATGACCTGAGTCACCCTCTACTCCTCCCGTCCCTTTCATGACTCCCCCAGCTGGATCCTCCAAGGGCTCCCTCCCAGGCTACCTGGCTGCTGAGCAACACAGGGCCAGTCAGGCCCAGAGTGGGGGTCAGTGTCAGCAGAGTCGGAGGCCTGAGTCACTTCCTGACCCTTGCTCAAGAGCATCCGGAGCCACAGCCAGAGTGGCCACTCATGCCCTCAGAAGGTCACACCCACTTGGGCCATGAGCATGTCTTTGGTATCCCCACCTTCCCCAACTCTGCCCCGCTCAGGTGTTTAAGACATGCAGCACTGGCCGGGCACGGTGGCTCACGCCTATAATCCCAGCACTTTGGGAGGCCGAGGCGGGTGGATCACAAGGTCAGGAGATCGAGACCATCCTGGCTAACACGGTGAAACCCCATTTCTACTAAAAAAAATTAGCCGGGCGAGGTGGCGGGGGCCTGTAGTCCCAGCTACTCGGGAGGCTGAGGCAGGAGAATGGCGGGAACCCGGGAGGCGGAGCTTGCAGTGAGCTGAGATTGCGCCACTGCACTCCAGCCTGGGCGACAGGGCAAGACTCCGTCTCAAAAAAAAAAAAACAGACATGCAGCACCATCCTGACCTGGTGCCACATCCTAGCCCCTTTCCTTACTGGATCCTCAAACCAGAAGAAAACCTGAATCTCTGAGCTTACTTACTCTCCTTTGTCTGCGTCCGGCCTAAAATCTGGCTTCCTGGACCTCACCCCAACTTCGGAATCAAGGTACCTTGCACTGGTGCCACCGATCCCAAAGGTCCAAAACTCCTGCAGCACTCCCAGGCAAGCAACTCCATTCCTTAGGCTCCCATGGGATCTCAGGGTCAGAGTAGGGGGTGGAGGAGGGAAAAGGCTGGGGAAAATATCAGATACCCCAGGGCAGGATGGACTAGGGAGACCCGGTTGGATCAGTAGACATGTCCTTATGATGTGGGCAAGGCCATTTCCTTTGAGGAGCATTTCTCTTAACTCTAGGCCACTGCAGAGCCTCGCGACCAAGAGCAGGGACTCTAGAACCGGGCTCTGCCCTTACCAGCGGTGTTACCTTGGGCAAATTACTTAGCCTCTCTGTACCTCGGGTTTCTCATCTCTAAAATGAGGATAATCATAGTACTGACTCATAGGCCTCTTACCAGGATTAAGTGAGTTATATAAAACACTTAATGACTGGCACATGGCAAACACAAGTGTTTATTAAATGACTCTTTTACATCTAATGGGCTGACTCCTCCATTCATTCTCCACACATTTGCTGATACATTGCCATGTGCCAGAAATGAAAAGACAGATTGCCTGACCGAAATAATGGCGGGCGTTATTGTGTGATGCCGGCACCCCACCCTCACCTCAGAATGGTCTTCCAAGTTGTGCCTGAGGCTGCAGGACTGCCCGGGAGGGTTTGGGGCACAGAGTCTGGGGGCTGCAGACTCCCTAGTGTGGACCCCCGGCTTGCTGTAAGCCCCTAGCAAGTTTCTTTCCTTGTTCAGTACACCTTTTCTCTTTTCCACAAAGTGAAGCAAGTGGTCCCCGCCCCTTCCGCAGCCCCATGCCTGGGCCAGAGAGGGGTGGACAAGTCAGGCTGGGCATCCAGAGCCCTTGCAGCCATTTCCTCCCCCACCTCCCCACCTTGCTCCTCAGAGGCCTTTGTGGTTTGAGCATAGAATCTCCATCAGGCTGCACAGGCCACCAGACAGGTGGCAAGGGCCTCGATTTGTCGTTGTCCTCATAGGGCCTTAGGAAGCCCACAGAAACTGTCTTCAAAGCTGCACATTTGGGCCAGGTGCAGTGGCTCACGCCTGTAATCCAAACACTTTGGGAGGCTGAAGTGGGCAGATCACCTGAGGTCGGGAATTGAAGACCTGCCTGGCCAACATGGTGAGACCTCATCTCTACTAAAAATGCACAAATTAGCCATGAGTGGTGGTGTGCACCTGTAGTCCCAGCTACTCAGGCTGCTGAGGCAAGAGAATTGCTTGAACCCCAGAGGCGGAGGTTGCAGTGAGCTGAGATGGCGCCACCGCACTCCAGTCTGGGTGATAGAGTGAGATTCCATCTCAAAAACAAACAAAAAAAAATCCTGCACATTTGAACCTGCATGCATATTTGGTATTATAGAATTAGTGCTGTTAATTTTAGGTTTAAGAATGTATTGTGGGCCAGGCGCAGTGCCTCACACCTGTAATCCCAGCACTTTCGGAGGCCGAGGCGGGTGGATCACGAGGTCAGGAGTTCAAGACCAGCCTGGCCAAGATGGTGAAACCCCATCTTGGTGTGGTGGCAGGCACCTATAATCCTAGCTACTCGGGAGGTGGAGGCAGAGAATTCCTTGAACCCGGGAGGCGGAGGTTGCAGTGAACCAAGATCAGGCCACTGCGCTCCGACAGACCGAGACTCCGTCTCAAAAAAAAAAAAAAAAAAAAAGTATTGTGTATATGTAGTTTTTAAAATCCTTACCTTTTAGAGATACAAAAATATTTATGAATAAAATGATATGACGCCTGGGTTTTGCCTCAAAACGATGGTGGGGGAGGAATGTAGATGAAATAAAATTGATTATGAGTTGCGGTTGCTGAGGAATCGGGGTCACGGGGGTTCATTGAACCTCCTATCAGATGTGGTCCAGAAGCCTCAGATCTGGGAGCTGGCTAGAAATGCAGACTCTCGGCTCCACCCCGGACCTACTGAGTCAGGATCCGTATTTTAATCAAATAAAATGCCCAGGGGATTCCTGAGCACACTGAGTGTGAGAAGCGCTGGCTTACTCTGTTCACTTCTTTTCTGCATGTTTGACATTTTCCATAATTAAGAGGTTGTGGGGTTTTGTTTTGCTTTCCTGTGTCTTCACAGTCACGAGGAGCTCTTCCTACGGAGACCAGGGCTGGAGGGAGCTGGGAAGCGCTGCCTCCCGGCTCCTGCCTCCTGCTTGGACCCACTAGCCCCGCCGCTGGCCGGCGGTCGGTCAGGAGGCACCGGGGTCCCGCAGGGCAGCCCTGACCCCGTACCTGGGCCACACCTGCAGCCGGGGCTCCGTCGGGCCGGGCGGAAGCGCGGCAGCGCAGGGCTGGGCAGGCCCGGGCGTGGCGGCCCCAGCGCACCTGGGCGAGCCGGCAGGTGGGAGCGTCGCGGCCCGGGGCCCCCGCCCTCGCTCGGGGGAGGAGCGGGCGGCGCGGGGCGGGCGCAGCGGGGGCCGGGGCGCTGGGAGCCCGTTGGGCCGCGAACGCAGCCGCCACGCCGGGGCAGCCGACATCGGGTGCCCGGGATGAGCCTCATCCGGAAAAAGGGATTCTACAAGCAGGACGTCAACAAGACCGCCTGGGAGCTGCCCAAGACCTACGTGTCTCCGACGCACGTCGGCAGCGGGGCCTATGGCGCCGTGTGGTGAGACCCCCGGGCCGCTGGGGGGCGTGGGGGGGGGGGCGCGGGGGGCGGCGGGGCGGGCGCCGTGCGCTCCCCTTTCCTCCCAGCCCGCCCTGGGCTGGCCCCTCGCCAGCGCCACCTTGACCGCGGACCTCAAGGCGCAGCGCCCTCCCCGGGGCCACTCAGCCGCCATCTCCCTTTTCTCACCGGGTGGCTGAGTGCGGTGTCTGTGGGTCGAATTGGGACTGGGCCTGGTTCTCCAGGACTGTGCCCTTGCAAGATCCCGGAGTTCATCGGGCAGATCCTCACTGTTACAGACAAGTACACCGAGGCCCCAAGAGGGGGAGGTGGCTCGCCAAGTTGCAGAGAGAGTGAGACTCCTTCCCTGCTGTGGATCCCATCGCAATGAGACGATTGCTACCCCTGGCGCTGTGCCCCTCTCTCAGCTCCTGCCTGACTTCCCACTCCCTGCCCTGCGTCCCGGGGCTCCCCCATATTCTAGGTGGTGGTCATCGTCCCCTCTCAGCCCAGCTGCCCAGTGGGAGGGGTCAGGGCGATCTGGGAGATACGGCCCAGGAGGAGAGCCTCGCCTGCTGACCTGCCTGTGCCCCACAGCTCGGCCATCGACAAGCGGTCAGGGGAGAAGGTGGCCATCAAGAAGCTGAGCCGGCCCTTTCAGTCCGAGATCTTCGCCAAACGCGCCTACCGGGAGCTGCTGCTGCTGAAGCACATGCAGCATGAGAACGTAGGCGGTGGCTGCCCCGGGGAATGGGGCGGGGGCTGCCCTGGGGAGTCAGGGGCAGGCGCAGGCGGGGCCTCCCGGTGTGGAGAGCTCGGGATAGTCTCCTCCCTGCTCCCCGATGGTGCCTCTCACCTCACTGTTGAAAGGAGGGGGTACTGGGACCTGCCCTGCCCACTTTCCAGGAAGAGGTCAAAGGGTATTTTTGGCAGGACACACTTTATGAGGTACAGACTGTCTCATCCTACAGAGGAAATTGGCACAGGGGAACTTTGTAATTGGTTCCATGTCTGAGAACTTGTGGCTAGCTGGGACTAGAATCCTAGTTAGTGTTGTGTCCACGTGACCCTGATAACAACAATATACACATATTGAGCACTTCCTGTGTTCTAAGAGCTCTGCATACACTAACTTGTCTGGTCCTCATGATATATGAGTTCTATTGCCCCGTGTCACAGACAGGGAAACTAAAGCACTGCAAGTCTCACAGGTTAGATGGTTAGTCAGTAGCAGAGCTGGGGTTTCAATCTGAGCAGCGAGGCTCAGGGTCTAAGCACATGACCATCAGATTGGCTTGTCTGATAGAAGCAGCCAGGAAAACCAGGGGCCCAGCTCAGGGCCTGGCAGGCAGGCTTTGCTGCAGGATACCTAGATTGGAGGGCAGACATTTCAAAGAATCATTTCAAAATGTTATGTACATTTTAAGCCCATCCTTCTCCAGCAAACCCCTCCCCTATTCCTCCAGCCAGGGTGATCTTGCTCTTGGCTCTGAACCAGCCCTGTGGCAGGCAAGGATGGATGTGGCTGGAGACCCAAGGTCGGGGCAGGGCATTTGCTGGCTGGAAAGCTCCTTCCCTGTTCCCTCCTTTTTCCCTTCCGCCCTCCCCTTATGCTTTCCTGCTGCCTGTGTGAGTTGAGAGTGGGTTTGCATTGCTTGCCCTGAACACCAGACTTGAAAGTAATGAGCACACCTCATTCTTCTCCCCACCTTCCCTTCTCCTCAGCCTGACTCTCTGTCATGATTTATTGCAAACTCCCTCCAAATCCAGGGGATTCCTCTAGGCCTCTGCCCTTTTTACTGCTTCCAAGAAGGTTGGAGACATGCCTCCTGCTGTGGGTGGTGTATTAGGAAAGGGTGGATGGCCCTGTGCATGGCCAGGGCCCAGGAGGAGGTAGGAGGAGAAGGAAATATCTGTCTAGCCCTCACAGGTGACTTTTTTCCCAGGTCATTGGGCTCCTGGATGTCTTCACCCCAGCCTCCTCCCTGCGCAACTTCCATGACTTGTGAGTCGGGCTGCACTGGGTTCTGGGGCATTTGCAGGCCTTACTTGCTGCTGGAGAGCAAGGTGGGGAGGGTCCAGGGTTTCTGTTCTGGGTGTGGCGGGGAGAAACTCCTTCCCTGGCAGTCCTGTGCCTTTGCCTGTCAAGGGTGATTCTCTCTGGAAAGATGCTTTTGGCCAAAGGCAGGCAGGAAGAGGCAGGAAGGACTCTGTGGGGTGCTTGCCTGGCAGGGGGAGGTCTGCACAGCTGCTTTGCTTTTTACCCAGTTTTAACACCATAAAGACACATCTGCCAGTTCTCACAGGGTTAGCACCAGCTCACCTTTCCTGGGGACACAGATGTGAGTCTGGACCTTGGAACTCTTTCTAGCACGAAGCAAGGATTAAGAAGCCTTGGCTGCCTCTGGCTGATGGGGGTGTTTCACAGAATGGCAGAGAACCAGAACATTTAGTGCAAAATGTATAGCTTTGCCCGTGCAGTGTCTGAATGAGACTGGACTATGTGGACAAGATGGAGAAGTCAGTGTGGTGTGTAGAGGCCAGCAGCTGGCTTGGTCAAGCTGAATCTGGATTGATCCTACAGGCAGCCTCAAGACCTGGGGATCTGAGCAGGGAGGTGATCTGTTCAGATGGGATTTGGGGGATGCACTCTGGCAGCACCAAGAAAGGAGTAGGAAGCAGCTCTGGGGCAGAGGGGAGAGCCTGAAGGTCAGTGTTAGTGATCTAAAGTAGAGGTGATGGGATGCCAAGAGCAGACTTGAGGCTGCATTTGGGAGGCAGGGCCAACACAATGTTCCGTCTGTTGGGGTGCAGTGGCTAAGTGAGGTGGCAGAGGTGGGGGGACGTGCAGGTTCTGCTTGGAATACAAGGGGGAGGAAGAGCAGATCTTGGGGGAAAGATAATGAACTCCATTTTGGACACTTTACTTTTAAAGAGACTGTGAACATTCCAATGTTTAATCACAGTTGCAAATAAATATGAACCTCAGCAGAGGAAAGTCTGGGCTAGGGATGTGGATTTGTGCTGGAATAATCACCGATGGATTATAGCTGACACCTGGGAACAGATAGTTATAGAATGCAGTAAGATAGTATTGATTCAGATATCAACATGAAAGAGAAGATCCGAGAGGATAAGCAGATGGAAGAAGCTGAGAGGGCCTGATCGGAGGCAGAGGAGAATCAGCAAAGAATTGAGAGGGAGTTTCTTTCTTTTTTTTTTTTGGAGATGGATCTAGGCTCTGTTGCCCCAGGCTGGAGTGTAGTGCGGACCTGCGGCTACTGGAACTCTGCCTTTCAGGTTCATTGACCATTCTCCTGCTCAGCCTCCTGGATTAGCTTGGACTGATGAGTAGCTGGGACCGGCCACCTGCCCACCAAGCTGGAATATTTTTGTATTTTTAGTGGAGATGGGGGTTTCACCGTGTTATCCAGGGATGGTCTTGATCTCCTGACCCGTGCTCTGCCTTCCGCTCTCCGCAAAGTGGCTGATTTACAGCGTGACACTCGCTTCCCGCCATGAGTTCGCTTGGGTGAAAAAGTTAGTCAGAAGAAAAATCATGGTGTTTGCGGGTTTCACTGGTATTGAGCTGAGCAGTCTTGGCAAGTGGGAGAAGCAGAAACCAGGTTATCTCAAGACTGGGAGTTAAGCGTGAATCAGAAATGTGGACCGCTCCTTTCTAGAAGTTTGGTGGTGAGAGAGAGACATGGAGTGGTCAGTTGAACTCTGCAAACATCAAGGAATGTGGTTTAGCACAGAGAGGCTTCAGACAGATTGTCGCCAGATGAAAAAAGCAAGTGCCCGAGTGTAGGGGAAAGACAGAGTGCGAGCTGGCATGGAGATGGGCCCCAAGGAGGTGTGTTGGTCAGGCAGTGAGAGGGCTGCCAAACATCCAGAGGTCTCCTGGAGATGCCTCCAGCATGCTCCTTTCAAATAAACTATATATATTTAATAATTTTAAGGTAATATTTATTTAAAAATTTTTAAAATTATTATTCGGTAGAGATGTGGGCTGTGATTGCCCCAGGACGTGTTGCAGTGCCCGCTTCGCACCAACACGCATCAACATGTAGGCATCAAGCCATCCTTTACCGCCTCAGACCCCCAAGTTAGGGTGGGACTACAGATGATGCGCACCATGTTCCAGCTTTTTGTTTTGTTTTTAATTGATTATAGAGATGGTTGTCTCACTTATGTTACTCACCTGATCTCGAAATCCTGACCTCAAAGTGACCTCCCCTCAAGCGCTTCATTGAGTAGCTGAGACTAAAGTGCGCATGCCACACACTGGCTTATTTTTTTTTTTTGTTTTTTGCGAAAGATGGAGCAGCCAGGTGCAGTGGCTCACGCCTGAATCCCAGCACTTTGGGAAGCCACAGGCAGCAAGATCAACCTGAGCGTCAGCAGTTTTTTGAGGACCAGGCCTGGCCAACATGACAAAACCTGCGTCTCTTACTAAAGGAATACAAAATAGCTGGGCATTCTGGCGCGCGCCTGCTAGTTGTGGCTACGCTCAGGAACGCTTGGAGGCGCAGTGAGAAACGCTTGGAACCTGGGAGGGAGGTTGCCGTGAGCGAGGATGCACCACCGTTGCCTAATCTACCTGTGGCGCCAGAGCGGACGGACTACCATCAGAAAAAAGAGGAAGAGGGAGGGAGGGAGGGAGGGAAAAGAAAGAAAAGATGGGGTCCCTATGTTGCTCAGGCTGGTCTCAAACTCTTCGCCTCAAGTGATTGTCCAGCCTCCGTCTCCCAAAGCACTGGGATTGGAGGTATGAGCTATGCCCCCTGGCCTATTTTATAATTTTTATTATTTTTTGTCTTTGTCCTGGACTTTGCTGTTGCTACAACAGTTACATTTTGCTGGCCTGATCCTGTTGTGCAATTCCCTAAGAGGCTGCAGTAGCCTCCCCATGTCCCCCTTCCACCCTCCTGGAAACTGTTGTATTGTTTCCTTCTTGGAAAGGTGGACATATTATTTGTGGAGCCATCTCAGCTGGGCATGACCCTCTGAGGGATAAAATATTTGGACAGAAGCCAAAGGAAATACTGGCAGATGTTTCTAACTCCTAGCTGTGGCTTTCCCTGGGGTGTGGAGGAGGGCAAGGAGAGAGTACCTTTGAAGAGCGGGAACACAGTTCCATGTGGCTTTCCTGAGCACGCTCCGACTGCAGCGCTTACTCTGAGCTCTGCCAGTTGGGCGGCCTGCCACAGGAAGGCTGGGAGCCAGGAGCCCAGAGGCCTGTGTGGTGATCTGGCTGGCTAAGGTGGGGTTGGTTTTTGCACACTGGAGGGTGTCTCTATGACCCCTGTTCTGCCCTGAGGCCCCTCCTCTGAGCACAGACCTGGGGCTGGGTGGGACCCAGCACTGTCCCAAGAAGCCCTCATGCCTTCCAGCTACCTGGTGATGCCCTTCATGCAGACGGATCTGCAGAAGATCATGGGGATGGAGTTCAGTGAGGAGAAGATCCAGTACCTGGTGTATCAGATGCTCAAAGGCCTTAAGGTGGGTGGGGAGTTGGAGGGTGGCAGAAGGGATGCCTTGCTGTCGAGACCTGAGGTTTGGGGGAGGCTGGAGGGAGCACACTGTTACAGGTCGGAGGAGGTTTCTGAGCCAGCCTGAAGTGCCTGGTGTGGAAACTGGGCCATGGACTCACCCTTCTCTCTCCCACACACAGTACATCCACTCGGCTGGGGTCGTGCACAGGGTGAGTGCTTTCTCTGCCATGGTCCTCAGAGGCCCCTGTCCCATCCCTGGGTGTGGGGTTCTTTGGTAATCAAGGAGTGGGAAAGGTGGAGGGAGAGGACACTTCCCAGAAGCCCAGAATGTGGAGTTTTCAGACCCAGCCACGGCCCAGGAAGGCCTGCTCCAAAGAGTCGCTGTGTCCCAGGGGACTTCATGGGGAATTGCTGCGGACAAAGTGAGCCCTGAGCTGAGTGTTTTAGGCTTCAAGAATCAGGAACATTTTAGAGCTGGATGGGCCCCGAGAGAACACCTAGTCCCACCCTCATTTTACACATGAGGAAACTGAGGCCCAGAAGGGGAAGGGGCCTGGCTGAGGTCACACCCCTGGGTGGTGGTGGAGCTAGGACAAGCTCCATCTCTGCCTCAGCCTAGCATGCACTCCCTGTCCTCTCCCCAGGACCTGAAGCCAGGCAACCTAGCTGTGAACGAGGACTGTGAACTGAAGGTGAGTGGGCTGCAGGCTCAGCCCAGAGGCGGGATGGGCCCTCCCCCAGGGAAGCCCCTGGAAGCCGCTCCCAGAGCCTCCTCCTCTCAGCAAGTTCCTTTTCCATTTATCCCGAGCCATAGATCCTGGATTTTGGGCTGGCGCGGCATGCAGATGCCGAGATGACTGGCTACGTGGTGACCCGCTGGTACCGGGCCCCCGAGGTGATCCTCAGCTGGATGCACTACAACCAGACAGGTCAGTGGTCAGCGCCTGAGAGGGCAGTCCTGGGGCCATCTGGTCACTCGGTGCTGATTGACTGCCGGGCCCCAGTCAGACAGTCCAGGTGACACTCCCCCTCCCTCTGCAGTGGACATCTGGTCTGTGGGCTGTATCATGGCAGAGATGCTGACAGGGAAAACTCTGTTCAAGGGGAAAGATTGTATCCTTTGCTGGAAAAGCCAAATTCCATCTAGGGATTCCTTCCTTCAACAGACACTTTATTTAAGCAACTGTCTTTTTTTTCTTAATGTGAGAGTGATGTATACTCCCTGTAAAATAATTTGTAAATGCAGATAAGGCTGGATGCGGTGGTTCACGCCTGTAATCCCAGCACTTTTGGAGGCCAAGGTGGGAGGATCATTTGAGCCCAGGAGTTTGAGACGGGAGGTGGCAATAGGGTGAGACCCCTTCTCTAAAAAATTTTTTAAAATTAGCCAGACATGGGCCGGGTGCGGTGGCTCACGCCTGTAATCTCAGCACTTTGGGAGGCCAAGGCGGGCAGATCATCTGAGGTTAGGAGTTCAAGACCAGCCTGGCCAACGTGGTCAAATCCCAGCTACTCGGGAGGCCGAGGCAGGAGAATTGCTTGAATCCAGGAGGTGGAGGTTGCAGTGTGCCCAGATTATGCCACTGCACTCCAGCCTGGGTGACAGAGTAGACCCTGTCTCAAAAAAAAAAAAAAATATATATAGATAGATAGATAGATAGATAGATAGATAGATAAGCAAAATGATGAAAAATGGGTCACCTATAATTCTACCACCATGTGGAAAATACATTTTGGCACCGCACACATTAACTGAGTGACTCTGTGTGCAGGACAGGCCTTTGGTGAGAAGATGAGGAAACAGAAAAGAGTGACTGGGATGAAGGCTGAGAAGTCCACATGTATTTGTCCGGTAGGGAACCCCCTCAGCCTGGCATGTTGGAAAGCTCTCCAGAGCCCTGAGCCCTGAAGAATGAGCCTCTCCTGAGAGCTCATTGGTGGTTAGGCAGGGCTGGAGCCTGGACAATCAGTTGCCACGGTGCCCAGGTGAAGTGATGGTGGGGTCATGGGAAGGGCAGTCTCAGACCCACCAGGAGAGCAAAGCTAAGCCTTAACCTGCCACCAAGACCTGGACCAGCTGACCCAGATCCTGAAAGTGACCGGGGTGCCAGGCACGGAGTTTGTGCAGAAGCTGAACGACAAAGCGGTGGGTGGTAAATGGGACCTAGCCTGGCCTGGGAGTGTGCTTGACTGACTGGGCCCAGTGGGCTGGAGGCTCACCCGCACCTTCCCGCAGCATCCTCCTACCCTGGCAAGCGCTCTTGTCTTCACCTCACTGTGGACCCGGACCTGAGCCTTCAGCCCTGCTCTGAGGCTTTTCTGAAATCCCTGCTCTACATGCTGAGGCCAGAGCCCTAAGGGGCTTGATGCTTTTCTGTCTTCCAGGCCAAATCCTACATCCAGTCCCTGCCACAGACCCCCAAGAAGGATTTCACTCAGCTCTTCCCGCGGGCCAGCCCCCAGGGTGAGTCTCATAGCCCGCTCCCCAGGGGCCTCTCAGTGCACCCCAAGGGCGGGCTCTCCCGCCCCGGTGTGAGGCTCATGGCTCTGCCCCTGCAGCCACGGACCTGCTGGAGAAGATGCTGGAGCTAGATGTGGACAAGCGCCTGACAGCTGCGCAGGCCCTCACCCATCCCTTCTTTGAACCCTTCCGGGACCCTGAGGAAGAGACGGAGGCCCAACAGCCATTTGATGATTCCTTAGAACACGAGAAACTCACAGTGGATGAATGGAAGCGTAAGAGCTGGGGCCTCGGGCTTCCTCGCCTCCACCTGCAGCCTCTCTTCCTTGCTTCCTCCATCTTTATGCCTGGCCTCTGCCAGCCCTACCTGCCACCTAAGGCTCCTGCCCCCTCCTTCTTGGTGGGCATTGTCTCCTAGGTGCTTCTTTCTCCTTGAGCTGACTTCACTCTCCATGCTCTCTCTGAAGGGAGGTGGACTTTCTCGCCTCAGCACCTCCTTACCCACCTTAAACCATGCTGCCTTTCTCAGAGCACATCTACAAGGAGATTGTGAACTTCAGCCCCGTTGCCCGGAAGGACTCGCGGCGCCGGAGTGGCATGAAACTGTAGGGACTCATCTCACATGGCACCGCTGGCCAGACACTGCCCAAGGACCAGTATTTATTTGTCACTACCAAACTCAGCCCTTCTTGGAATACAGCCTTTCAAGCAGAGGACAGAAGGGTCCTTCTCCTTATGTGGGGAATGGGCCTAGTAGATGCAGAGTTCAAAGATGTTGGTTGGGAGAAACTAGCTCTGATCCTAACGGGCCATGTTAAACTGCCCATCTGGAGAACTGCCTGCAGGTGGGGACCTTTCCTTCCCACTGGAGTGGGGCTGAGAGGGCGCTGAGCCAGGCCAGGGGCCTATGGCAGTGATGCTGCATTGGTTTCCTAGGGATGCTCTAACGAATTACCACAAATTGAGTAGCTTGAAACAGCAGAACTTGATTCCCTCACAGTTCTGGAGGCTGGAAATCTGGGATGGAGGTGTTGGCAGGGCTGTGGTCCCTTTGAAGGCTCTGGGTAAGAATCCTTCCTTGGCTCTTTTTAGCTCGTGGTGGCAGTGGGCAGTCCGTGGCATTCCCCGGCTTAGTGCTGCATCACTCCAGTCTCTGTCTCTTCTGTTCTCTCCTCTTTTAACAACAGTCATTGGATTTAGGGCCCACCCTAATCCTGTATGATCTTATCTTGATCCTTATTAATTACACCTGCAAATACTCTATTTCCAAATAAAGTCATATTCTTAGGTTCCAGGTGAACATGAATTCCAGGGGGAAATGATTCAACTCACTACAGATAGCTGGGAGGGAGGGGCCCCTTCCTGGGCCCTGTGCTGAGGCCTTGTGCTCTGTGAAGGAACCAAATGTGTTTGGCTGCTAAATTAAGGGAGTTGCGGAGAGAGCTGCAGCTGGTGCGATTGCATTCAGGTTATTTTGGGTGAGTGATAAGCAATCAAGATATGAAACAACAGCAGGCTTGGAGACTGCGAGCTGCACAGGCAGAAATGGGCTCTTGCCTGGCTTGATGGCAAACCGTTCTGCTCCCTTTGGGAGATGGCACAGCTCTCCAAAGCTTTGACCTGACAGTGGCTAGAACCTCTGTTTTTATCTGAGAAACGAATTTCCATGTGCGCAAGCTATCAGGGGCACAGTGGGTCTCAAATTTCCTTGTGCACCAGGGGAATTGTTAAAATGCAGATTCCTGGGCCCCATCCCAGGGCTTGTGACTCAGCAGGTCTGGAGTTGAGACCTTAGAATGTGCATTTGAATGAGGACCTCTCGCCCTGACCCAAGCCTAGTGATTCTGATGGATATCAGACATTTAGTGGATTTCAGTCATACTTGATTTGTTGGGAGGCCTAAATCAACCTACAGCAGAAGACTGGGGGGCTTCAGATGGAGCTTCACACTCATCTTACAGGTGTTAAAACTGAGGCTCAGACAACTTTTTGTTTGTTTGCTTGTTTGAGACAGGGTCTGGCTCTGTCACCCAGGCTGGAGTGCAGTGGCACAATTACAGCTTACTGCAACCTCAACCTCTTGGGCTCAAGCCATCCTCCCACCTCAGCCTCCTAAGTAGCTGGGACTACAGGTATATGCCACCCAGGTGCACCAGGACTACAGGTGGCTAATTAAAACATTTTTTTTCTTTTTTGTATAGGCAGGGTTTCTCTATGTTGCCCAGGCTGGTCTTGAACTTCTGGATTCAAGTGATCCTCCCATTTTGGCCTCCCAAAGTGCTGGGATTATAGGCATGAGCCACCCTGCAGGCCCAGACAGCATTTTTAAGGCCTTGAAACTCTTCTGTATGATACTGTAATGGTGGATACATATTGTGCATTTGTTACAATCTGTAGGACTGGATAACACAGAGTGAACCCTCAAGTAAACTATGGACTTCAGTTAATAATAATGTATCAGTATTGGTTCATAAATTGTAACAATTGTGCCACACTAATGCAAGATGTTACTCATCAGGAAAACTGGGGAGAGAGGCGGGAAGTACATGGGAACCTCTGTACTTTCTGCCAACCTAAAACTGCTCTAAAAAATAAACAACAGGGCCAGGGGCAGTAGCTCACGCCTGTACTCCCAGCACTTTGGGAGGCTGAGGCGGGCGGATCACTTGAGGTCATGAGTTCAAGACCAGCCTGGCCAACATGGTGAAACCCCATCTCTACTAAAAATACAAAAATTAGCTGGGTGTGGTGGTGCATGCCTGTAATCCCAGCTACTCGGGAGGCTGAGGCAGAATTGCTTGAACCTGGGAGGTGGAGGTTGCAGTGAGCTGAGATTGCACCACTGCACTCCAGCCTGGGTGACAGAGTGAGACTCCATCTCAAAACACAAAAAACAAATACCCTGAGGCCACAGAGACATTAGGTCAGATACCCACAGCTGGGAAGTGGTGGAGTCAGGATTGGAACCCAAGTAGGCTTGACCACTGCGCCCAGCTTGAATTCAGGGTTGCCCAGCCTTCTGTCTTCTCGCCGCTCTCTCTGAGACCCTTACTGCTGACTGTGTCCATGGTCTCTGTTTTCTCTCCCACAGAAAGGCCCTGCTGTCAAGGAGTTGGGGAGTCCTTGACTGGGACTGGCTAGTCTTGCCACAGCCCTGGCCTCGCTGGTTACTAAACTGCCCCAGGTTCCCTGAGTCTAGATCCCTCTAAGTCTCCTTCTGAGAGTCCTCACTGCCACAAGGAAAAAGTCCAGCCTTCTTGGCCTGGCATTCAAAACCTCTTGTGTTTTGAATCTCATCAGCTCCCACTGCCTCCCCTGGTCCTTATGTCAGTGTGAGACACCAGTCCTGGGATCCACCATAAGGTTCATTCTGCATCATTCACAGGTTAAAAGTCCTGACAAGTGCCGCAGTACACAGAACTGTTCAACTCATTTAATCCAGAACTTCCCAAATTTACTTAACCACAGGACCCGTTTTCTCCCAACAGCATGACACTCATAGCCTTTTTCTGCCCAGTGCAGCCCAGTGCACAGGTCCCGATACTGCCTCTCCCCAAGTAGGCTTGGCCTTCTTTTAGTGCCCGTGGGTGGAAGGCCCTCCATTCTCTCCATTCTCCTTGGCCTTCAAGGCTTTGCCTTAGGCCTCCCTCCAGGCAGCTGTGGTCCATCATCCCCCCTGGGCTGCAGGCCCTCTCTGTGGGCAGCATTTACAGTGTGTGGTTTGGCCTCCCCTTCCCATTGCCCACTGTGAGCAAATATCTGTGTGTGAATGAATGAATGATGACTGAATGATGTCCCCAGGGGCCTGTCGGTCACTTCTTTGCCCCGACCAGGCCAATGTCATATGGAAGGTGGCAGAGAGCACAGCAGGAAGCAGAAGTGGGCGGCCCTGGGCTGTACCTTTGAGAATCTCTATTCTCTCAGACTCCCAGACCGCACTCCTCCCCATCATCCTTTGCTGTCCCCCTAGGCTGTCCCCACTCCGGAATTAAACCTCAGCCCCCTTCCACAGAATTTTCTCAAACCTGTGAAGTTTCTACAAAAGGTGGTGGAATGCTCAGCAGCGCAAGGTGGGGGGTGGAGGGGGTGGGGGCTCCATGGGTTTGGGTCTTGCCCAGTGGGCACATGGCCTGCGTGATAGGAAACAAGTCCATTCTCCTGCTGTCTGCGGGCAGAGGAGCTGGCGGGGTGGGGGAGGGGGAGATTTGGGCTCAGGTACTCTTGGTGGATGGGCTTCGTTCTGTGGCTGTGGGGTGGCTTAAAAGATCTTTTTTATTTTTTATTTTTTTTATTTTTATTTTTTTTGAGACGGAGTCTCGCTCTGTCACCCAGGCTGGAGTGCAGTGGCCGGATCTCAGCTCACTGCAAGCTCCGCCTCCCGGGTTTACGCCATTCTCCTGCCTCAGCCTCCGGAGTAGTTGGGACTACAGGCGCCCGCCACCTCGCCCGGTTGTTTTTTTGAATTTTTTAGTAGAGACGGGGTTTCACCGTGTTAGCCAGGATGGTCTCGATCTCCTGACCTCGTGATCCGCCCGTCTCGGCCTCCCAAAGTGCTGGGATTACAGGCTTGAGCCACCGCGCCCGGCCTTAACAGAGAGATCAGGAAGCCAGACTGCAAGGTGGGGGGCATTTCCTAACAGCAAGTGTGCCCTCCATTCCCTCTTTTGAGGAACAAAGAGTATCTTTGCTGGGGCCTGAGTCATCCATGAGAACAGAGAGCAGCGGTGTCCCAGGGCAGGGCTTGCCTGGCGTGGATTGGGGTGGTGCTGCTCCCAGTGAGGGGCAGCACAAGGGGAGACAGAAATGGAGGAACAGCCCCCGTAAGGGCAAGCCCAGTATACACCAGCGCCCAGAACTGCCTGATGGAGGAACAGCTCCGTAAGGGCGAGCCCAGTGTGCACAGGTGCCCCGAGCTGCCTGCATGAGGCTGGAGGCTAGTTTGGATGAGGGCATGGCTCAACTTTCACTTGGCACATTGAAATAGCTTTTGCTGTCTGCTAGGGTGTGGAAAACTGTTTTTCCATGCCCCCAAGCAGTGCTGCAGCCACAGGTGAGGAGGGAGGTATCTCTCCCTGCCTTTCCTCCCAACTCTTGGCTTTTGCATCCTTAAATTTGGTTGAAACAATTCCCTAAGATCTAATGCTGGGAGGCTTCCCTTCTTTCATGACACAGTGAACTCAGGTGCTCTATCTGCATTCTCCCTAAATCCTCCTGAGCTTTTAGGTAAGAGGCCGGTGACTTCACAATGGGCAGCAGAGGCCTAAGGCCATTCCATCAAACTGAAGATGGTGGCAAGTTGTCCTCATTTCTTTGTTGAGCACCCAGGGGTATATCCTGGAGCAAGGGTGGTGCCAGGGATTCTCCTGCTTTGGTTCCTCCTGCAGGGTCCCGGCAGCTGGACAGCGGCCCTCACTCTGGGTGGATGACACTCAGGGGCTTTTGGCCATTTTTTGTGCCCTCGATCGCTTCTTAAAATCATCTTTTCTTTTCTTTTCTTTTGAGACGGGGTCTCACTCCATTGCCCAGGCTGGAGTGCAGTGGTGCAATCACGGCTCACTGCAGCCTCGACCTCCCTGGGTTCAGGTGATCCTCCCACCTCAGCCTCCCAAGTAGCTGGGACTATAGGCATGCACCACTATGCCTGGCTAATTTCAGAATAATATTTTCGTACACATAAAATATGTAGGATTACAAAGTAAGCTAGTTATATTTATATACAGTTGTCAAAATATTTTTAAACTGTGTAACATGGTACTATGTGCATAGGTTTCTTTATTAACATATTGAATAACAAGATCTAGGGGTGGGCCTATTAAACAATGGTAAATTGAAGTAGAGATGAGTGTAAACAATATTCTAAGATACCTGTGGCAAACTGTAAAGGGATATGAAAAACTCTGTGGTTTCTATTGGCGCTGCTGATACAACTGCACTTTGCTCCCTTTGTTCATAACCCAGGAAATAGAAACGACTGAAAATAAAGTTGTATTCTATTCCAATCCAAGTGCACAGACCCCTGAATTCTATAGTTCATGGACCCCAGTTATGAGCTATTGGAATGAGGCTGTTCTAGCTACTGAAATGAGGCTTTAGGTATCCTCTGAATTCCTAACAAACCCCCAGCTCCACTCTCTATGATCACGGAGCCAGGCTGGAAACTTCCAGCACTGCACCTGGATGCCCACACACTCATCAGGGCCCACTCCTCTGGACCGCCCAACCTCACCATCCAGGTAGAAATGGACATGACTGGGGCATTTTGCTAGGGCAGCAGTCCCCAACCTTTTCGGCTCCAGGGACTGGTTTCATGGAAGACAATTTTTCCGAGGATGGAAGGTGGTGGGGAATGGTTTTGGGTGAAACTGTTGCACTTCAGATCATCAGGCATTAGATTCTCATAAGGAGCATGCAACCTGGATCCCTCGCATGCGCAGTTCACAATAGGGTTTGTGCTCCTATGAGAATCTTGTGCCACCACTGATCTGGCAGAAGGCACAGCTCAGGCTGTAATGCTCACCTGCAGCTCACCTCCTGCTGTGCAGCTCGTCCCTAACGGGCCACAGACAGGTATCAGCCCCTGCCTGGGGGTTGGGGACCCCAGTGTTAGGGAATTGGTGGAGGCCTCTGTATCTAGTTTGCAGAATGGGTGGAACTCTTCCATTCCTGCCCCGCCATGGTCCCTCTAAGCAATTTTACTGATGAAGACACCTAAGCCCAAAGTAGGGCCAGGGCTCAGGTCTCCAATTTACCACTGCACCATTCTTCCTGCTGCCAGTGTGGTGTGGGCACGATGGAGATGAATGTGTGTTTTTTGCTCCCTGTGTTACTGCCCCAAGCCCCCGGCCACCATAGGCACAAAGGCAGCCACGCCTTGGGACAGGTTTGTGTTAACTGGCCAAGAGAAGGAGCTGCCATAAGACATTCCTCTCTGTGTTCCCAAAGGTCTCACTATTGAGAATATTTGGCCAGGACCCCGGGACGGGACGAGGTAGGGGATGAGGAAGGGAAGTGTGGTTGAGAAGCACTGTGGCTTAGATAGGAGGTTTCTCCTGACCAGAAGGAGGTAGAAAGCAGCCCCTGAGTACCCATATGCATTTGGGATGGTGCCAGCTCCCCACAACACCCTGACAAAGCCCAGGAAGGAGCTGCTGGGTGTGCCCGGGGAGGCTGGACCCTAAGCCCAGGGCTCCTGGTTTTGGCTGAAATTTCTGTCTCCGGAGTGTGGCCTGGGGCAGCAGACCATGGACCCCAAACAGTCCCGTGGACTGGGTCAGTGGTCTTCTGAGACAGAAGTGTTGGTTACCCACCCAACAGTCATTCTCCCATGTTCCTTAAAGAACCCACATTTTATTCTAGATGCCGCTTGCTCGGGAAGGTGGGCCTTTCCTCCAGCTCCAGAGGGTGACCCATGAAAGCCCTAAACCAAGTGTGCTGATTTTCCCTTTGCTAGGGATCGATTTAGGACTCAGTCCTGCCCAAGAGAACTTGGGAGAAGTCTGGGAAGGAGATACAGGTGGTCTGTACCTGCTACCTGCCCTGAAGATGGTTTTGTGAGCTCTGCAGCTCTGGCAGCCATGGTGTGACCATGAGATAGCAAGCCTAGGGTAAAAGGCCCACACATGGAGGACAATGGAATGCAAGGATAGAAAGATCCTCAATGCTTGGATACATCAGGGAACTATGAAACCACTCTGAGGACTGCCTGCCTCTAGACCTCTTGCTACGTGAAATAACTAAATCACTTTTTTAGCTTAAGCTGCTATCAGGCAGGTTTCTTGTATGTATGGCCCACACATTCTTAACTGGCACAGCATCTCAGTGGTTTCAATACAGACTCATACGCATGGGGGCTTTCTCCAGATTGTGGGGTCCATAAGATGCAGAAGTTTTCTAGGGTTGCAAGGAAGAACCCCAGTAAAGGTTACAGTTGGATTTCCTCCAGCCCAGCAGGATAGGGCATTGCCTTTAGAAATTTGAGTTTAGTTCAGCCTTTCCTTTTATCTTATTTGTTTCTTTTTTAGACACAGGGTCTCGCTCTGTTGCCCAGGCTGGAGTGCAGTGACACAACCATAGCCCACTGCAGCCTCAAACTCTTGGGCTCAAGCAATCCTCCCACCTCAGCCTCCCAAGTAGCTAGGACTACAGGCACATGCCACCATACCTAGCTAATTTTTTATTTTTATTTTTTGTAGAGACAGGGTCTTACTATGTTGCCCATACTGGCAATCTTTCTTTTTTATCCTCCATCAGAGGAAGTGGCACCCCTCTCTACTGCTGCTCTGTCCTTGTGTGGCACACTATAGTAGTTAACTGTTAGCTCTGGAGACATACGACATGTTATTCTCACCAGCCCTGTGATCTGGGGCCTCAGTTTCTTCATCTGTAAAATGGGGACAGTAACACTAAAGAAATAAAAATAAGGAATGTACTCAGAACAGTGTCTGGCACAAAGGAAGTGCTTGCCAAGCATTAACTGTTATTTTTATTATTTTCTCTACCACATCCTCTTCCCTCCTCAATTACCCCATCTTCCTGACATCTCCACTTCCTCCTTCTCAGTAGCAGTTTTTCCCACTCACCTTGTGTCCATGTTAAATCCCTCCTCAATGGGTCTACTACCTTATTCCCACCTGGGTTCTTTACCTTCTTGACAAACTGTCTTCAAAGAGGAGTCTGTGTTTGTCACCTTTGTTTTCTCACCACGACTCCCTAGCAAACACCCTGACACCTGCCTTCGGCATCTACCCTTCGTCCACAAGGAATCTGTCATGTTCTACAGCAGTCTCTCATCAACAAATCTTGCCGTCCTGGGTCCTACGCCTCTCCACCATGCCTGCCACCCTCCTCTACAGGGAGCCCCTCTGCCTCAGTGGCGTGACTGTCTCCCACCCCCTAGTGCCTTCCAGCTCTTATCTCCCCAGTCTGGTCACTGGGCCAGCTTCCTGCTGCCTTTGACCTAGCTCACAGAGCAAAGTCCTTAGCCTGTGGCTTTCCTTTCTTCCCAGCCGTACTGGCCCTCCAGCCTGGTCGTCTCTCTAGAGCCTGGATCTGACTCCAGAGGCTTTCTGTGGAATCCTCCCACCGAGCCACCCCATCTCTTTCCACTTAACCTTCCTAAACTAACCTCCCTAGACCAGCTCTCCCATCAGACTCCCCCACTCTGGCCCACGATGCCCTCTGTCTCTTGGCCATTTAGCAGGGCCACCTTGCTGGCTCCTCCCTGCCTCTGCCTTGTTTCCCTGTTCGTCCCACATCTAGGGGCCCCTCTGTGATAATGCTCCTCCCAGCTATTCTGTGTTGGTCACTTTAGGCCCCTTTGCACCTGTTCTATTATAAGATTAATAATACACAATGATTTCCTCCCTCTAGGTTCTTCCTTATCTGTTCTGCTGCCAGATTCTTCTTCCTTAATGCTGCTGAGACACATCCCCTTGCTCAAAAGCCAAAAATAGCCCCCTCTTGCTTACAGCACCAGGTACCATACCCTGCCTGGTTGTGTTAGTTCCCACAGTAGGAACACACCTGGGTTACAGCAGCTCTTGCTTATATTACAACCCTGGTATATGTAGCCTTTTGGGCAAGGTCTGCAGAGTGTGGAGTTAAGAGCCTCAGCTTTGCATTCAAAAAGACCTGGGGTTGCATCCTGGCTTTGCCACTTACTAGCTATGTGTATTAGGGTTCTCCAGAGAAACAGAACCAACAGGATATATGCAGAACTTGCAAAAATCTCTATCATCTATCTATATCCACCTATATATCTATCATCTATCTATATCATCTATATCATCTATATCTGTATCATTCATCTATCTATCTATCCATCCATCCATCCATCCACCCATCCATCCATCCATCCTTATTTATTTTTAGGAATTGGCTGACAAGATTGCCAGGGATTAGCAAGTCTGAAGTTTGTAGGACAGACCAGCTGGCTAGCAATTCAGGTAAGAGTTGATGTTGCAATCTTGAATCTGAAATTCATAGCGCAGGCCACGCAGACCGGAAACTCAGGCAAGATCTCTATGTTGTAGTCTTAAGTCAGAATTCCTTTTTCTAGAAACCTCCCACTTTGCTCTTGAGGCCTTCTCCTGATAGGTTGAGGCCCACCCTCAGTAGGGAGGGTAATCTGCTTTGCTTACAACCAACTGATTGTAAATGCTAATTCCATCTACAAAATTTCTTTGCAGCAACATCTAGACTGTTTAACCAAATAACTGGGCATGTAAGCCTGCTTGTCACACTATGCATTTTGGAGCAGGCTGTTTTTCTCCTCTGAGCCTTATTTTCCTTCTCCAAGATGGAATCTTGGAAGAGCTTAGCTCATAGGACTAGTGAGGGCAAAGTGCATACACAGAGTGCACAGTAAATATTAGCTATTTTTACTATTGTTGTGGTTGTATCAGTGGGTACTCAAAAACACTTGTGGATGATGTTAATACTCTTGGGAATATGGGACCTACAAAACATGGCTGCTGCCCTCCAGTTTTTGGTTGGGTTGTGCAAGTATAACACGAAACTATGGAGGTGAACTGTGCTTATTCCCATCTGACTCTGTGGCCCAACAGACTGGTTCAGAGCCTTTAGTTCATGTACAAACTCCCAAAGGAACAAAATCTTCCAGAATTCTTCACATTCTTTTTTTGTGAAGGGAGGAAGAAAGTTTCTCCACTGGTTTCTTCATTTTTGAGGGGATTTGGAACAATATGTCAAAAAGAATTAAATTTCACTTCTTCAGCAGCCATTTCACATTTTTTAAGAACTGCATATTTATGCCAGTAAACAACGAAGCAGGAACAAGATGATAGCTCCGTTTTCCTGGAAATCAGGAAATCAATCAAGCTGTCTCAAACTGAGATGTCTGCATTGTGAAATCCTGCTAACATTCCAAAAAGCTGTTTTAAATAAGAGTAATTTTTATAAATGGAAATTCTCTCCCTCTCTTTCTCCCCCCCTTACCCCTCTCCCTTCCTTCTTCCCTCCTTTCTTTTTTTAAACCAGTGTTGGCCACTGACTACTTCTGATGTGTTCAGCCTAGGCATCAATTTTTAAAAATAGGTGGGATGGGATATGGGTTTCTTTGCTTCTCTCTCTGAGACCTTTCCATTGTTTCTGCCCAATTAATTGGCATCCATCTCTGCCTGCCTAGGAGTCTGCTTGCCTTTGTCCACACCAGCCCTACCTGTTCCTATCTTTTTTTTTTTTTTTTTTTTTTAAACAGTGAAGCCATTACTTCAGCTGCGTCTTTCAGAACCAGGAATAAAATGATCTCAAAAGAACTTCTCTGTGTACAGTATTAAGATTTTATATATATACATGTATATATATAATATATATAATATAATATATACATATATACTTTTTATTTTAAGGGTACAGTGGGGCATGCCTGTATTCCCAGCTACTTGGGAAGCTGAAGCAGGAAGATCACTTGAGCTCAAGAGTTCAAAACCAGCCTGGGCAACACAGCAAGACCTCATCCTTTAAAAAACAAACAAAAACTTATACAAAGAACAACTTTTTAATTTTAGATTTATAGAATAGCTGCAAGAAGAGTACAGAGAATTTCCATATATGCTGCGCCCAGCTTCCTTCTTATTAATATCTTAGTACAGTACTTTTTTCACAACTAATGAACCAATATTGATATATTATTATTTATTTTTCTTGAGACATTCTCACTCTTTCACACAGGCTGGGGTGCAATGGTGCAATCTCAGCTCATTGCAACCTCTGCCTCCCGGGTTCATGTGATTTTCCTGCCTCAGCCTCCCGAGTAGCTGGGATTACAGGCCCGCACCACCACACCTGGCTAATTTTTGTATTTTTAGCAGAGGCGGGGTTTCACCATATTGGTCAGGCTGGTCTCAAACTCCTGACCTCAGGTGATCCACCCACTTCAGCCTCCCAAAGTGCTGGGATTATAGGGTGTGAGCCACCACACCTGGCCTGATACATTATTATTAAGTAAAGTTCATACTTTGTTCAGTTTCCTTTGTTTTTCACCAAAGTTCTACAGTAAAACTTACTTCCTAAAGTTTTACCTAATGTTCTTTTTCTGTTTCAGGATCCCATGTAGGATGCCATATGCATTTAGTCATGATGTGTCTTAAACTCCTCATGGCCATGACAGTTTCTCAAATTTTTCTTGCTTCTGATGAACTTGATGGTTTTGAGGAGGTCAGGGATTTTGTAAAATGTCCTTCAACTGGGACTCGTTTAATGTTTTTCTTGTGATTGGACTCGGGTAATGTGTTTTTGGGAGGAGGACTACAGTAGTAAAGTAACCTTCTCATCACATCATATCAAGGCTATATCCTATCAATATGACTTAGCACTGCTGATGTTAACTTTGATCACCTGGCTAAGGCAGTGTTTGCCAGACTTCTCCACTATGAAGTGATTTTCTCCCCCTTCTTCCCACACTATAATATTTGGAAACAAGTCACTAAGCACAGCCCATATTTAAGGAGGGGAAGAGTACTCCACTTCTTTGAGGAGGGAATATCTAGATAAATTATTTGGAATATTTCTGCATGGGCGATTTTTCTCAATAATTTAGGTCTATGGGCCCACAGGTGTTTATTTTATACTTTGGTTATAATCCAATAAATAACATAATAAAAATAAGTAATAATAGTGATATGGTTTGGCTGTGTCCCCATCCAAATCTCATCTTGAATTGTAGCTCCCATAATTCCCATGTATTGTGGCAGGGTCCCGGTTCCTGGTGGGAGATAACTGAATCAGGGGGAGGTTCCCCCATGATTCGGGAGGTAGTGAATAAGTCTCACGGGATTTCACGGTTTGATAAGGGGTTTCCCCTTTTGCTTGCCTCTCACTCTCTCGTCTGCCCCCATGTAAGAAGTGCCTTTTGCCTTCCTCCATGATTGTGAGGCCTCCTCAGCCACATGGAATTGTGAGTCCATTAAACCTCTTTTCCTTTTTTTTTTTTGAGACGGAGTCTCGCTCTGTCGCCCAGGCTGGAGTGCAGTGGCCGGATCTCAGCTCACTGCAAGCTCCGCCTCCCGGGTTTACGCCATTCTCCTGCCTCAGCCTCCCAAGTAGCTGGGACTACAGGCGCCCGCCACCTCGCCCGGCTAGTTTTTTGTATTTTTTTAGTAGAGACGGGGTTTCACCGTGTTAGTCAGGATGGTCTCGATCTCCTGACCTCGTGATCCACCCGTCTTGGCCTCCCAAAGTGCTGGGATTACAGGCTTGAGCCACCGCGCCCCGCCCATAAACCTCTTTTTCTTAATTACCTAGTCTCGGGTATGTCTTTATCAGCAGTGTGAAAATGGACTAATACAAGCAGTAAATAAATTTTGTGTTTTGAGATGGAGTCTTGAATTGCTTGAACCCCAGGCTGGAGTGCAGTGGCACAATCTCAGCTCACTGCAACCTCTGCCTCTGTGGTTCAAGCAATTCGCCTGCCTCAGCTTCCCAAGTAGCTAGGATTATAGGCACCCACCACCATGCCCAGCTAATTTTGTATTTTTATTGCAGATGGGGTTTCACCATGTTGGCCAGGTTGGTCTTCAACTCCTGATTTCAAGAGATCCATCTGCATTGGCCTCTCCAAAGTACTGGGATTACAGGCATGAGCCACTGTGCCCGGCCAGTAAATAATTTTTTTTTTTTTTTTTTTTTTGAAACGGGGTCTCACTATGTTGTCTAGGCCGAAGTACAGTGATATGATCTCGGCTCACTGCAACCTCTACCTCCCAGGTTTAAGTGATTCTCCTGCCTAAGCCCCCTGAGTAGCTGGGATTACAGGTGCCCACCACCATGCCCGGCTAATTTTAGTAGAGACAGGGTTTCACCACATTGGCCAGGCTGGTCTCGAACTCCTGACCTCAAGTGATCTGCCCACCTTGACCCACTAAAGTTCTGGGATTACAGGCGCGAGTCACCACGCCTGGCCAGTAAATAAATATTTAAAGAGCTCTACCTTTTGACTTGATTTGTAGGCTTTACTTCCTTTTGTGTGAATTGAGCCCATTTCCCTGAAAGGACCGGGAGGTACTGCTCACAGCCAGAGGGAGTCAACTCAGTAGTCATGCAAACACACGGAGTCCTGGGGGTGGGGGAAACATGTTTCATTTCTCCCATTTTGATGCTGATTAATCCACAGTCCACTTTGGACGGGCACCCTGGAGGCCCTTCCCCCTCTCATCTGGCTTCTTGGTTGTTGATCCTCTCTCCCTTTTCCATTCCAACACCACCTATCCCCTGGTAAGACATGTAGGGGACCTTCATTCTATTTGCATGAAATAAGGAAACAAAATATAACAGATATAAGTCATGGGTAGTGTAGCTATCCTTTTGTTGCATGTTTTCGAGGTGGACTCTTCTGGGTACTTTAAATATATCATTTCTAATCTTCACACTAATTACACAGCAATTATTCCAATTTAACAAATATAGAAACTGAATCTCTAAGAGTTTTTTTTTTTTCTTAATTCCCCCAAAGTTTTCCTCTTACTGCAGTTTTTTCTTTTCAGTCTCTTCTACCAGCAACTCCTCTCATGCATCTCCTAATGGTGCCCATGGCTCTCTCCTTGGTTGCCCTTTTCTGTTCATGCTCCCCTCTAAATGGTCTCTTCTACTCTCCTGGCTTTACATACCATCCATATGCTGATGACTAGCAAATGCACATCTCTACCTTGGGTGTCTGTATTTGATTTCAGAAAAGTCAACGTCTTCCCCTGAGTGTTTTAAATCAAAAGTCAGAGGTTCTGCTTCTAGTAGTGGTGGAGTCGCTTGTATTGTATTATAGTCATTATAGAGATAATAAACAAACACAACCATTGGAAGGCACTGGAGAGACCAAAAGCAGGCAGAAATGAGACGGGGAGGAAACCACCAGAAGAAGGGAGTGCAGCGGGGAAGATTTGTGATCACAAGGCTTTTGCCTGAGGGTACTCTTCAGAACAGGTAGCACAGGATGGCCAGAAAGCGGCTAGTCTTACTGGTTTGGCAAGTCAGAGAATGGGATTTAGAAAGAAAATCTAGGAATGAAGAAACCACAGAGTTTATATGCACTTTTAACCACTTCTTAAAAGTGCATATAAAATTTGATTAAATCCTTGGTCAACTCCTGACCTGTGCATGCATAGGGGATACTTTAAGGAGCCCAGCAAGGAACAAGCAGAAGGTAAAAGACAGGAAGTTGAAAGAACTGAGCAGAAAGTTTAGCTGCTGCCCATCTCAAGGGACACAGAATTTGGAATTTTATGCCTGCCAAGTTAGCTGCCTGAAAATAAATGCTCTTCAGAGGAAGGTAACAGAATCCAGATTCTCTACATCATACTATCTATAATGCTTAGAATAATAAAGATTTTTTAAAACTCTAAACTTGAAAACAAGCAGGGAAATGTGATCCATAGTCAAAAGAAAAGCAGTCGACCAGGCACAGTGGCTCATGCCTGTAATCCCAGCAATTTGGCAGGGTGAGTCGGGTGGACTGCGAGGTCAAGAGATCAAGAGCATCCTGGCCAACATGGTGAAACCCCGTCTCTACTAAAAATACAAAAATTATCTGGTCGTGGTGGTGCGTGCCTATAATTCCAGCTACTCAGGAGGCTGAGGCAGGAGAATCACTTGAACCAGGGAGGCAGAGGCTGCAGTGAGCCAAGATGGCGCCATTGCACTCCAGTCTGGGTGATAGAGTAAGACTCTGTCTCAAAGAAAAAAAAAAAAAAGAAAGAAAGAGAGAAAAGAAAAGAAAAGCAGTCAATGAGAACCAATTCTGAAACACTTCATACTATTAGAATTAGTAGTCAAAGATTTTAGAGCAAATATATGTTTTCAAGGACTTTGAAAACACAGTCATAATGAATGAACAGATGGGCAATTTCAACAAAGAACTAGAAACTACAAAAAAGAACCAAATGGCAATTCCAAAATTAAAAAGCATGATATCTGAAGTGAAAAATCTCACTAGACAGGCTTAACAGAATATTGAAGATGAAATAAGAAAAGATGAACTTGAATAAAAATCAATAAAATTTATAATAATCTGAGGAACAGAGAAGAAAATATTTGAAAAGATAATCAAACCTTCAGTAACTTATAGGACAATATAAAATCATCTAACAGACACAAAATTCAGTTCCTAGAAGGAAAAGAAATAAGCAATGGGACAGAAAATTTTGGAGAAGTAAATTATTTGGAGAAATAATGGCCAAAATTTTCACAAGTTTGATG